GTGTTTTAAAAATTTTGTTTCCCTGCCAGCAGTAGAACAAGATTGTTGTCTTAACTGAAAAGGCAAATATATATTTGTTCAATGAATTTTATGGACTTATTTATGAGACACGTTATAACTTATGATAGACATTATAGTTGAACAGTAACATTAAAATTGTTAGTTTTAATCTTAAACTTCACGACTGTTGTTAATATTGATTATATTGTTTTATTTCACTGTTAATACTGATGTTTATTGTTTTCTTTCACTGCTAATACTGATGTTTATCGTTTTCTTTCACTGCTAATACTGATGTTTATTGTTTTCTTTCACTGCTAATACTGATGTTTATCGTTTTCTTTCACTGCTAATACTGATGTTTATCGTTTTCTTTCACTGCTAATACTGATGTTTATCGTTTTCATTCACTGTTAATACTGATGTTTATCGTTTTCATTCACTGTTAATACTGATGTTTATCGTTTTCATTCACTGCTAATACTGATGTTTATCGTTTTCATTCACTGCTAATACTGATGTTTATCGTTTTCTTTCACTGTTAATACTGATTATCGTTTTCATTCACTGTTAATACTGATGTTTATCGTTTTCATTCACTGCTAATACTGATGTTTATCGTTTAGTTTCACTGTTAATACTGATGTTTATCGTTTAGTTTCACTGCTAATACTGATGTTTGTCGCTTAGTTTCATTGTTAATATTGATTATATTTTTGTTTTCTTGTAAACATTGTCACATGTTGTTTTTTCACTGTTAATACTGATGTTTATTGTTTAGTTTCGTTGTTAAAAATAACTTATTATTATTTAAATTACTTAACGTGCTCTGGTCCACATTTTGTCTTAGGATTTCTTTTAAACTATAACATTAGTGAAGTTTCTATATAGCTTCGTTTCAGTTTACATACTGATTGTAAATACATTATTTTAAGAGTTACATACTGTACAGTAAGGAAAATATTTTGAAAACGGTTAAGACGTTTCTCAAGTACACAGGTTTTAGTATATAAATCAACATTCAACAACCTAATAAATCTATATACAATGTACATAAATGTTGTTAAGAAACTAATATAAACTTACGTATTAGAATTACTTGTTGTTCTCTTATATATAGTTTACATCAGAAACACGTTAATATATGTACTGACCTGGCTAATCGCGATGCACAAAGCAGCAAGACAGGCGGTAAAACCTAGACGTTTCATCGTTCTGTCTGAACACAAGTCTTTCGGACCCAGCAGTGTATATTTCAATACTCGAATCAGTGACGAGGAAGTAACTTATCTCATCCTTCCTCGGCAGTCAGGAAGGGTGGGAATGTATTGTGTTGTTACGTTTCTTGTAAACTTGGAATCTGATAACGTTTCAACTTCCTTTGTTTTTAGAAGAAAGGAAGAGGGAGAAGTTAAAGATTCCGTTAACTATTATCAGATTTATCAGAATATGTGAAAGTGATCCGATGTAGGAAAGGAGATTTGTGTCAGGAATATTTCTATCTTGAGATCTATTTCCTGAAATATTACTTTCTGTTCTTAGAAAGTAGATAGGTTTGTTTGTTTGTTTGAAGTTAAGCACAAAGTTACACAATGAACTAAGAATATTTGTTTGTTTGTTTGAAGTTAAGCACAAAGTTACACAATGAGCTAAGATGATTGGTTTGTTTGTTTGAAGTTAAGCACAAAGCTATTCAATGGGCTATCTGTGCTCAGCCCACCACGGGTATCGAAACCCGGTTTCTAGCATAGTAAGTCCGCAGACATACCGCTGTGCCACTGAGAGGCCCAGAAGAAGAGAGAATCTGTGT